CTGTCCCCCTGCCCTGTATCCCGCTGTCCCCTCCTGTCCCCGTCCCCACCACTCCTCCATCCTCATTCATCCCTCCATCTTCTGATCTCGCTGCCCCTCCTTCCCCTCCATCCCTCTGTCTTCCATCCCTCCCGCCCCGCATCCTGTGTCCCTTCCTGTCCCCATCCCAGCGTCCTCTCTGCCTTCTGCCGTCTACATTCCTGTAGCCCCCGCTGCCTCTCTGTCCCCTCCATCCCCTTCAGTGCTCCATCCCCCCTGCACACACATCCCTTCATCCCCTTCATCTCTCTGTCCCCTCCTGTTCCTATACCCCTTGCCTCTCCGCCTCCTCCATCCCCACAACCTCTCCATCCCCTTCCTATCCCCCCCTTGCCTGCTCTCTGCCGGGTTCTCCCTCGTCCTCCCGATCTCCCCAGCCCTGGGACACCAGGGATCGCCTTGGGTGAGCGAGTAGAGGGACAGGGTGCGGGGACCTTGGCTTTGTTCCCACCTTCCTTTGCTGTGTAGGGACTGTAAATCCCCGAGGCAAAGGCTGCAGGGTTGATCTATGGGGTTCAGTCAATGTTTGGGGACCTTTTCCCAGACCCAGCGAGCCTGTGTGTGCACAGGCTGGGCACCGTCGTCATGTCCTGTCAGTCTGGTGCCCCCAAAGAGGAGAGACAGAGGGAGTTAATGCCTGTCCTGCTACAAGGAAAGAGCGGCGCTGCAAAGCGATGGGTTTTACTCTCTTCTGGATGGGAGCCGGGGCCAAATAGTAAATAAACCAAGAGCTGAGTAATGCACAGTCCTGCTCCTGAGCCACCTGTTAGCACCGAGCAGATGGAGGAACAGCTCTTTGCCTCAGCCACCAGTGCCAAGAATTCCCCCTCTCCTTAAAAGTTCTCTCTGTAGAGGCCCCAGGAGCAGAGACTGTGGTGCCTCAGCCCCCCACACCCACCTCCAGGGCTGTTGATGAGCCTTCTTCATCAGCACCAGGTTGTTTTCCATGCCTCTGGCAAAGTCAGCTCCCCACCCGAACCCTACAGGGATGGGTTGTTTGGGTCCAAATTCAGGTTTGTTCGGTCTGAAACGTTCTGGGGTCTTTGCAGGGGATAATTGTGCACCGAAACTGCTCGTCCTCTGCAGTGGGCTGGCAGAGGAGGCCAGGAAGCTGGAGGTCAGCAGGAGTGGTCAGGCAGCTGAAACCAGGGGCTCTGCCACTTCTGCCGGCTTTATCCTTCCCCTGGGGGCTTCTCTGCTCCTAACAAAGCCGTGTTTTAATTCCAGCCCTGCTCAGGCCAGGGTAGACCTTGAGAAGTGCTAAATCTTAGGGCTCCAGCTGATTTCAGCTGCTCAGCATCACTCAGGTTTCAGTGCATCTACTGCAGCTAAAACCTAATAGTTTTAAAGCAACACCCGAGGGTGTTACACCCTGTTACAAATAAAGCGATACATTTGGGGTGGGGGAAACCCTGATAATGCCCAGTTTGAACTCGAGGGAAAAAGTAACAACCCTCTGGGTAAATCTGGGAAGGCAGAAGGAGGATGAGCTGCACGTGAACATAACAGAGGGGCTGCAAGGCTAGTACCCTGCCCTAGTTTGGCTGCTCCAGCCCTGGGCTGGGTGCTGCTGCCTCCCAGCTCCCTCCTTAGTCATCAGAGAGCCTCCAGCGTGCTTGACTCCCGTTTCCCCATCATTTCTTTGCCCCCAGGAGCAATATTTTTGCATCATCTCTCAAGAATGGGAAGAAAACCTTTGCAGGTCTTGTCTTGGATGAACAGAGCAATGTTTAATATTTTGGAGAAAACTTCTACCAGCTCTCATGTAGCAGTTAAAAAAAAAAAAAAGCCACCTGCTATGTTTCTGTGTCTTTCGTTCTCAAGAACAAAAATGCACAGTCACTGCTAAGTCAGGAGACCAAATAGCCATCTCAACTTCTCCCTAAATACCTACGTTTTTGGGGCCAAAAAAAGCAATGGCATATGCTGGTGAGATCTTAGAAAGCTGACTAGGAGATGCCCAGGGAGCAGAAATGGTGAGTCAGAAGAAACCATATTTATATAATGAGTTTTCTTCCCGTAACCACACTTCAGTTACCAAATATTTATTAAACGTCACCAGCATCGTTTGTATTCCCAGTTATTTTCTTACATAAGCTGTAACAGCTCGAGCAGAAGAGCCAACATAACATGCACTCAAGCATTGCAAGTTACAATCAATATGCTGTTGTTGGGGAAATGCTGTTAATGGTTTATTTCTAATCAATTTGAGCCTTATAGCTCAGCTGTTAACCTAATTTAGATAATAAGAGCTTAATGCTACCTCCGTCAATACTTGTGTGTAAACCAGGAGGGGATGGTGAAGTGAGAGCAGAACTAGACTTGAAATTTAGGGGTTTAGTCATTCTTTCGGCTTGATGATTTGCAGGGGGTGGGGTATTTTAGGGGGCATTAACAGCAGGACAGTGCTAAGCACTAAATCCTGTGAGGATGTGGCAGGATGTAGCCTGCAGTGATTGGGAAGAGCCCACTTATATAGGTATGGGAGTGAGGCTCCAGGCTGGACACATGAGTTATCCTTCTTGTTTTTCCTGCAGAGAACCCAAAATGCTTGGAAAAGGACTGTGAGCATCACTACCAGAATTAAGTGGGGGTTTTGGCAGGGGAAGCTGAGGCTAGAGACATGCAGAAGGGGTGAGCACCTGCAGCTGGGCTGCACTTGCAGGGATGTTCTCCATGGCTCAGGGATGTTCTGCCTAGACACCTCAAACACCAGGCAGTTCCAAAAACCAGCCACAGCATCCCCAGCCAATTGGCAACCAGATGGGATTCCTGTGGTGGGATTTCTCCAGTCTCTTGGGTGCAGATGGGACACATTTCCAAGCTTTCTTCTGCAAACACGATGGCTGCAATCCCCTTTCCTTTCCCATCTTGCAAGTGAGGAATCTGCCATCCCTGACTCCAAGGGTTGGTAATGACTGAGGACCGGGGCAGAATCAGATCACTCTGGCTAAGCCGGGGTTCCTCGCTGACTCCTGTGTTTTTTCCAGGCAGATTTACGAGTTTTTAGGAGTGCTGTTGCAATCCCTTCCCTCTCAGAGCAGACGGATGCTGGAGTGCATGGCATGGGGCACTGCCAGGGTCCTGCTGCTGGCTCTCCCACTGTCAAAGCGATCCTGGAGGTAAATCCAAAGCTACCCCAGAGCCTCAGGGCACCCCTCCTGTCTAGCTCCTCCACTTGCTTTGGGATATTTTGCAGCTTGAGTGGGTAAATTCACTTAATCCCTTGACAAAAGGAGCCAGCCTCTCCTGAGGCCATCCCAAAGGCAACCTGGGTGGGATTAAAGGGGATCTTTGCAAAGGGGGACCTGTGCTGGTAATGCCATCAGCCAGCTTTTCCTCTGGGATTCGTCCCCTGGGTGTAACCCCGAGCCTGCATCCACTTTGGTGCCAGGGGTTGAAGGACCAGGCAGCTTCCCTAAATATTGCTCTGGCTGATGCACTCATGTCACACTGGGATGTTGAACAGCTGCTGTGTTACAGGGGTTTGGAATGAAATATGCAGCATGAAAGGAGCTGGCTTCCACTGGAGCAACCCAAACTGCAGTGTTCCTGCCCTGGGCTGCTCTCTGGATGGGGTTTTACTCCATCCGTGCCTCTGGAGAGGTGCTGAAAGTCTGCATGTGCCTCAGTTTCCCCTGCCCCAAACAGGGATAATGGCTGCTTTTGCAGTCCAGCAAAGAGGGAAAGGAAGGTGGGAAAAAAACCCCTATGGCAAAGAGAACAGGGATGGGCAGGGAGCTAGGAAAGCAGGAGGGCAGCCGGGCACATGGGCAGGCTGGCAAGGTGGCCCTGTCTCCCCTGGCTTGCCCCCCATTTCCTTTGGCTTCCTTCTGCATTTTTGCAAGGGAATTCTTGGCCTCCAACCACAGGAGAAGGCTGGAAGGGCAGCTGGCAGCCCCTGGGTACCCGAGCCAGGGGGTGGCACACAGACAGTGCTTTGGGGAGAGGGACAGCCTGGAATGTGTTTTTACCAGTGGTTTTTTAAAAACTGGGCAGCATCTGACCATTGGTTTGCTTCCTTCCATCTGTCTGTGCTCCGGAAATTGCGGCATTTCTTTCCTCTTTTCCCTCTCTGCAGAAATTCTGGCTTCTAGGGAGAAAAAGGAGGGGAAAAACCAAACCAAATCCAACCAACAAACAATCCTGCAGCCCCAGGTTGGGTTGAACATTGATCCCCTCACACTGTTGGAGGGAGGTTGTGCTGGGGTGTTCCACGGGTGCTCCCTGCCATCCTGTTCTGGGATCCAGTGATATTACATCGTTCTGTGCATACCATAGTAGTACTGTCTGTGTAGGAGCAGTTTCACCCACCAAAGTAATGATAATAATTAAAAATAAACCCCAAAGTTTGGGGATCTCTGTAGACTTCAGCTTCTGAGTGGTTCCCATGAAGGGGAATGTAAGCAGAGGTTTTGCAAGACCCTATATGAGAAAGTGAAATCCTTCAATGTTCTGAGGTTAAAAGCAACCACTTCAGTTCCCCTCACTCTGATTTGTATTTATTTTTCCCTTCACTATCCCTCTGCCTGTGCTGTTTGCTGCTGGAAGGCTCCTGTAGGGCAGTACCTCACTCAGGGCTCTCCCAGACCCAGCAGTGCTGTGGTAGGAGAGATTTCGGAGCTGCTGTGGTGCAGGTGTGTGAGAAAAAAGGCATCCCTCCTCATTTTTGGGCAGGGGGTGGGTGGTGGAATGGGTGGAATTTGATCTTCTTGAGAGCAGTAGGAACCAAGGATTGCAGCTGGGGAGAAGCAAGGTAGGAGCTTTTGTGGGAACATCACCCTGCATAGTGCCTGGACACCTGGGACAGAGGAGGGATGCTCCGTGACCCTCTCTGGCTCACACTGGTGTCCTCTCCCCCCAGAGCAGGTAAGAGGCTGATTTTCCAGCTGTGTTTACCAGCTGGACAGAAATCCTGCCAAGATCTCCCTGGATTCTGGTTGGAAATGGCAGGGAAGCTCCTTGTGCCTGTGGGGCTGCAGTGCCTTGCAAGGAGGCAGAAACCAGTCTGTTTGCAGCTCTGGGCTCCCCAAACCTGACCCAAAATGCTGCCCTGAATCTGATCCCAACACCCACATCCACAGCCTCCATGGTGGGAAGGAAACGTTGGAGAGGGCACATTCCCTCCTAGGTGGCTTATCAAGCCAGAGCCTGTTTGCAGAGGCACAGGGAGGTTGGGATGAGTGGGATTCAGCTCATCCACAGCATTTGTTGGCCGAAAGTGCTCAGTTGGCCTCTCCTGAGCCCTGGGGATCCCATAATTTGCTTTTGGCCATGACTCCAAACCCTTGGCCAAACAGCCGTGCAGGTGGATTGCTGCTCTCCCTGGAGCAGTCGGAGTCCATCTGAAACCCAACCAATGCCTGCACAGGCCAGGGATGGGTATAAATAGACACCAGATGGTGGAACAAGTGAATTTGACCTTTTAATCTGCACTAAAGAGCTGTTTGTTCAGTTCGCTTTCCATCTTCCCTTTCCAGACACAGGGAAGATGGATGGATGTTTTCCAAGTCCCTCTGTTCCTACTGCCAAAAGAGTTTCTTGTACCTCTGAGGATGTACCTCTGAGGATGTGAGGGTCAGCGTCCCAGGAGATTTGTGATAGGGACTGAGAGCTCCCAGGTAAAAACTGGGAAAACCTGTAATAGGTTAGAAAAAGATACAGCTGGATTTATTCCCTTGGAAATGAGTGATGATCCCATGATGCACAGCTCCAGCACAGCATCCTTCTAGATCTTCAGGGGCTTAATTTTAGGAAGGGTTTGTGATATTTTTAGGAAGGATCCCAATGGATTTCCCCTAGAGGGCAAACAGTTCCCCCAGCTCATGGAGCAGCCACTTGTGGGGATCTCGCCTGGGTTTCTTGCCTCAGCGGTGACTTTTCCGTGACATTTGTTGCATGTTTGGGGCTGGGATGTGAGTCATGTCAGGGAGATCTGGCCAGTCTAAATAAACCAGTCTATTCCCTGCTCCCATCAGCCTCCCTGGGGCCTGCCCTTGGATAATGAGCTGGAGAGTACTTGGGATACATCTTGCTGAAATGAAACATCTGTTTACGTGGAGCTGCCAGTGATGGGATAAAATGTGGCAGAATAATTTAAAATAGCCACAGGTGCCCTGGGGAAGAAGCAAATATGCTGTATCTCTCTCAACATCTCCCTCATTTACTAAGAAAATGGCATTTTGTGTCTAAGAAAGTGGCATTGTCCTGGCAGTATTGTGATGGATGAGCACACAGAGCACTCTGCTCTGGGAATGGTGAATTTTGGGTGAAACTTGGCCATCAGAGAGGACTCCCATTGAGTCCTTCAAGTTTAATTAGGCTCCGAATTGAGACCGCAGGGTGTAATCTGTCTGGGGAGGAGAGAAGCCACTTTCTCTTTCCCAACACTATGTTGTGTAATAGGTGCATTTTTTTCTCCTGACTCGGGGCTGTGAGCAGTGCCAAGCAGAGGAGGAATTTCGATGCTCCGATAAGATGTTTACATCAGCGTAAACATCACTGGCGCGGTTGACATATGAAGTAATCCCTGGTCACCCCAGTCTGCAAGCAGGGGATGCTGCGGGGCAAAGACTTGGCTACCAGAGTGTTTTGGGCCCAGTTTGTCACCAAGGATGTCAGGTTCAAACCCTGTGACCAGCACAGGTGGTTTTGCAACAGTGAAATGTTATCTGTGAAGTATTTCCCACCCCGAGGCGGCGAGGGCAGGGTTAATGCTTTGGGGAATATGCAGGGAACTCTACAGAACGCAGGTTTTCCATAAGAAAATTCCTCCCTAGGGATTTCTGGGTGCAAAGGTCATGGCAGGTAAGACGCAGTAGCTGGAGAAGGGGATGCAGGGATGGGCTTGTGCTGCCTATCCCTTCTGCCGTTAGAGGGTAACATCACTTTAGAAAGGCAGCACTGAGTCCATCAACTTGTGTTCTGGATGTGGTGGGCTTCATAAATGAGGCTGATTTCTCCTTTCTGAGCAAAAAAAAGAGCCCCAAAACAAAGGTTTTATCCAGGCTCTGCCTGCCCCACTCCTTCCCTGCAGAACCACGTCCTGACCCTGATGTCCATGGCTGCTCACATCTACAAGCACCCTAGCCTGAAAAACTCCATCAACCTGGTGGTGGTGAAGGTGCTGGTGGTGGAGGAGGCAGCAGCGGGGCCAGAGGTGTCAGACAATGGAGGCCTTACCCTGAGGAACTTCTGCAGTTGGCAGCAAAGGTTCAACCCACTGAGCGACCGGCACCCAGAGCACTATGACACGGCCATCCTGCTCACCAGACAGGTCAGCATTCCTGGGGAGTGCTCTGGGCGGTAGAGGGGTCAAGGTGTCCATGGAGGGAGAGAAGAGGGTTGACCGTGGAGGTTGATGCCCCACCATGCAAAAAATGGAGATTGCAGCAAAGTAGTTGCAGGGGGATGGTTTCATTTGGGGTGCAGACCACCAGTGGGTTGCCCACAGAGATGTTGGAGCTGAACGTGGGACTCTTTCCCCCTCCCTGACCCCCTCGGTGCTGCTCACAAACAGGACTTCTGTGGACACCAAAGCTGCGACACGCTGGGAGTGGCAGATATTGGTACCATGTGCGACCGCAACAAGAGCTGCTCGGTGATCGAGGACGAGGGCCTGCAGGCAGCCTACACCCTGGCTCATGAACTGGGTAACACATCCCTTCCCGAGGGGGAGTCTGATTTTTCCGGCCCTGCTGCTGGGAGGGGTTATAACACAGCACAGCCCAGCACCACCATCTCCCAGCTGGGGACCACCTGCCAGACCTTGGGCAGTGTGGGGAGCTTCTGGCACTGGTAGAAGCTGGTTTGCAGCAGCAAAGGCTGTTAGAAGTACCCAAATTGTTGTAAATTGGTGCATTTACACTGGTTCTGGAAGAGTTTCTGCACTGAAAGGATTGTCAAGCATTGGAAGGGGCTGCCCTGGGAGGTGGTGGAGTCCCCATCCCTGGAGATCTTCAAGGAACAACTGGATGTGGCACTCAGTGCTCTGGTCTAGTGACAAGGTGGTGATCAGTCAAAGGTTGGACTTGTTGATCTTGGAGGTCTTTTCCAATGTTAATGATTTCATGATTTACCTGTTATGATGAGCTCAGATGTGGAATCAAGCACATATCTCCCTTGGTTTGTCATTCCTGCACTGACTAATTTTTTCCTAGAGAAGCTGTGGCTGCCCCATCCCTGAAAGTGCTCAAGGCCAGGCTGGACAGGGCTTGGACCAACCTGGTCTAGTGAAAGGGGGTAGAACAAGATGAGCTTTAAGTTTTTTCTAACCGAAACCATTTGGGGATTGTATGAATTTGTGCTGCTTTGGCCAGCATACAATGGGCCATACCACTGAGATGGAGCAAGCAGGTTTTTATTCGTTTTGATTTATGGAGGCAAATGGCTTTTGCAGCAGTAGAAGCTATTTGGTACCTTATTGATGCTCCCAGCTGCCCAGGAGTTGGGCTGGGGGGGCTGCAGCTCTCTGATGCTGGGGGGCTGCACTCACAGTGCCCTCTGCTCCCCAGGCCATGTGCTCAGCATGCCCCATGATGACTCCAAGAACTGCGAGCGGCTCTTTGGACCTCTTGGTGAGCACCATATGATGGCTGCTCTCTTCATCCACTTGAACAAGACCCAGCCCTGGTCTCCCTGCAGCGCCATGTACCTCACCGAGTTCCTGGATGGAGGGCATGGTAAGCCTCAGCTCAGCAGCCTCAGCACTCAAACCCACCTTTTCATTAATTGTTCAGGCTCTCTGCAACACCTGGAGGGGCATGTGGGGTGAAGGAAGAGTCAAACCAGACCTCAGAGGAGGCTGGGGGTGCCCTGCTTGGTGCAATCCAAGCCCTGATGGTCCAACTCCAGCCTAATTCGTGAACTTTTCCCAGGTGACTGCCTGCTGGACGCCCCAGCTGAGGCCCTGTCCCTGCCTGCCGAGCTGCCCGGTCAAAGAGCCCTGTACAGCCTGGACCAGCAATGCCAGCAGATCTTCGGGAAGGACTTCCAGCACTGCCCCAACACCACAGAGCAGGACATCTGTGCCCAGCTCTGGTGCAGGACGGGCAGTGGGGAGCCCCTCTGCCACACCAAGAACGGCAGCTTGCCCTGGGCCGACGGGACGCCCTGCAAAGCCAACGGGCTGTGCTGGGACGGGCGCTGTGTGCCACAGGATGCCCTGAAACCCCAGGTAATGGGGAATTGGGGAATGATTGCCTGGGGCTTACCCTTTGGGATTCCCAAACCTCTGACCCCAGCCCTGCCATCTCCTTGACTGGCTTTGGATTTGGCTGCTTTATTTCTGGATGTCTCTCCTTCATTAATTTTTATTACCGGCAAGTCCAGGTCATAAAGTCTGCTGCCGAGGTACGGACGAGTCTGACCCAGAACAAGCAGTGCAGATCTGCAATTAAATCATCACTTTTTGCCCTGCTGGGGGAATTAGCAGCGGTTTCAGAGTCGGTCAGCAAAGGACTTAAAGCCCAGCTTAACTTTAAGCACATGAACAGACTGATGGAAGTCAGTATTAGCTTCGTATGTGCCAAAGTACTTTTCTGGATCAGGGCTGGGCGGAGATTTTAGTGTTGCTCCAGACCTTTGCTCACCCTGGGACTGAGCAGCCGGGCATGGACAAGCTCAGAGTGGATCAATAACTTTCTCGTGGCCTCTTGCAGCTGGCAGTGGATGGCAGCTGGGGCCCCTGGAGCCCCTGGGGCTCCTGCTCGCGGAGCTGCGGTGGAGGCGTCCAGTTCTCCCACCGGCACTGCGACAGCCCCAAGCCCCAGCATGGTGGGAGCTACTGCGAGGGCCAGAGGACCAAGTACCAGTCCTGCCACACTGAGGAGTGCCCACCAGATGGTAAGGAGTGCCCACCAAATGCACACTCACCTCCCACTCCTGCTCCTCCAGAATACATCACCAAGGATTGCTCTGCTCTTCGTTGAATATTCATATTTGGAGGGGCAACAGCCTTCTGCTGGGGGCTGTGACCCTCTCTGGCTGGGTGGAGAGTGTGTGGGATCTCTTCTCTGTGATAACCCGCCTCTGCATGCTCACCACATGCTCCTCAGCTCACTCCTCCTCTCCTCAGCTCACTTCCACATCTCTCTGATGGCCAAGGACAGTGGTTCCTGCTGGCTTCCCACAGTTTTGAGTTGTGTTTCTCCTTCCCTTTCAGGGAAGAGCTTTCGGGAGCAGCAGTGTGAGAAGTACAACAGCTACAATTTCACGGATCTGGAAGGGAATCGCCTGGAGTGGGTTCCCAAGTATGCAGGAGTGTCCCCTCGGGACCGGTGCAAGCTCTTCTGCAGAGCCCGAGGGAGGAGCGAGTTCAAAGTCTTTGAGGCCAAAGTAAGATACCTGGTGATTGGAATCACCCCTATGTACCCCATTTCAGAACTCATCCACTAATTGCTGCTCTACATCCTTCTTTCTCAGGTGATTGATGGGACGCTGTGTGGCCCGGAGACCCTCTCCATCTGTGTCCACGGGCAGTGCATCAAGGCTGGTTGTGATCACATCGTTGGGTCCTCCAAGAAGCTGGACAAGTGTGGGGTGTGTGGTGGTAATGGCTCCACGTGCAGGAAAATATCTGGCTCGCTCAACAGATCCAAGTAAGGCACCAGGGAGAAGGATTCTGCAGGGATAGGTTGGGGAAGAAAAAACATCATCCCCTCTCATTCTCCTCTTTTATGGCTGAAGTGCTAGACTAGGAATATTAGGACTCTGTGCCAGCACTCTCAGCCAGGTGGCATTGCAAGAGCCTGGGCTCCTCCCCAGACTCCAGGGCTTACGCTCAGTTTGTTTCAGGGCAGCTTTACACAAGCCAAGTTGAGTTTATTTCCTAAAGTAATAACTAATACGATGGGCTCAGAAGACCACTGCGCATAAATGTGCTGCCCAGAGGAGTTTACAATGCACATTTCACCCCTGTGCAGGGAGTTGGACACATCTTTGAGGGCTGACATGTGATATAAATAGTTCAAAACTTTCCCCTGGGTTTGGGGGTGAATTGGAATCCTGGGTCATGGACATTGAGGACACTTCCCTCACCCAACATCCCTGTCGCTTTGCCAAAGAGCAGAAGTTAAGGCTTTTGTTGGAAGGATTGTAACAAAAGGCCAACGCATCCAATTCCATGCGGAGAGTTGACTCACGCAGGCAAATTAGATTTCCTAAATGGTTTCCTTCCAGGGAACTAGTGAAATGGGGCTTCCACCCTCCTATGAATTGTTTGCGGTTGACTAAAGGGAGATTAGTGCAGGAGCTACAGCCAAGAAGAGATCCCATTAAGATCAGGGTGAGGGAGGCCAGGATGACGGAGAGCAGAGTTTGACTCAAAAGCTTTTTTACAAAATACTCTGAACCTAATTACTGACCACAGCATCCACCATAGGGACACATGGAAAGCTGTCCTGGGGCCCCACGGCATGAGTCACAGTGCTGAGGGCACCAGTGCTGAAGCCTTGAGGGTGCTATCTCCGGAGCTCTAGGGATAGGGTCTGGCTGGCTTTGCAGGGAAATGCTTCCCTGGCATGGAAATGCCCTCTGTGTCCTCCAGTGGGATTGCTTCCGCAATGTAGTGGTGGCTGCAAAAGCCTTCCAAAGATGCTGAGGGTGCAGATGCTCTCTCCTATTCTGCTGTTCTATATCTATGCCTTCAGCATCACCAGTGACATGCTTTCACAAATACTTCACCCATTTCCAAAGGAAAGGAGCAAGGGGAATTTTCCACTAAGGCTGGTTGCCATGTGGCTGTTCATTTGATTTCATTGCTCATTTTCCCATCTAATTCAGTGAAATCTCCCAGCTGAGCTCACATCTGGCACATCCGCAATACCTCTGGCTCTGGAGTGCTGGGGTTATGGAGAGATGGGTTCAGAGCCATGATCTCAAGTGCTATTCACTACATGGGTCTTCTCTTTATAAGTCTTGGAAAATAAGTGTCCCTTTGCTCCGTGCAGATATGGCTACAACGACATCGTCACCATCCCAGCCGGAGCCACCAACATCGACATCAAGCAGCGCAGCCACCGCGGGGTCCGGCACGATGGGAATTACCTGGCCCTGAGGACCCTTGAGGGCAAGTACCTGCTGAACGGAGACTTTGCCATCTCAGCCATGGAGCAGGACATCCTCATTAAGGGAACCATCCTGAAATACAGCGGCTCCATGACAACCCTGGAGAGGCTGCAGAGCTTCCGACAGCTCCCGGAGCCCTTGACTGTGCAGCTGCTGACCATCGCCAGTGAGGTCTTCCCACCAAAAGTCAAGTACACCTTCTTCATCCCCAAGGACATACCATTCAGCAAGCAGAAGGGCAAAGAGAAGAAGTCGCCCAATGTCATCCGCCCTATGCTGAACTCCCAGTGGATCCTGGGTGACTGGTCCGAGTGCTCCAAGACATGCGGCTCTGGCTGGCAGCGGCGGACAGTGGATTGCCGGGATGTGGAGGGTCAAACCTCCTCCACCTGTGACAAATCCCTCAAACCTGAGGACATAAAGCCCTGTGGAGACATGCCATGCCCTCTCTGGCGCCTGGGCCCCTGGTCTCCCTGCTCCCAAACTTGTGGTGAGGGTGTGCGGACGCGGAATGCCTCTTGCATCGATTACACCGGGAAAATCACTGCCCCGGAGAAATGCAGCTCTCCAGGGCCACCACCAGCCACAGCCGCCTGTGTCCTGCAGCAGTGCTGAGCCACGCCAGAATTCGCGGAGCCAAGGATGCCGCGGGATCCCACCATGCCAGGGCAGGACAGCAAGGGTGCCGTAGGCTTGCTTACCAGACAACCAACCACTCTCCAGTGGTTCATCCTCACCCCATTGATGTCTACCTCAGAGTGAGGAATAATGGCGGCAAAATGAGGAGGAATCACTTCTTTTTCTTTCTTTCTTCCTTTCTCTCTGGCTGGCTGCTCACAGGCAAGTTGTAATTTAAAGGGAAAAATAAGCATAGGGTGTTTCCGAAGAGCTGTGGCTGAACGTCGTTGCAGATTCCTTTTGGGAGGTTCACTGGGAGAAAATGTGGAGTCCGGGTTTGCCATCACCCTGTCCCAGCTGCAGGTCAAGGAGATCCAGGGTGGGTGGCTTTGCTGATAAAATTGGGATCCCTGTGCAAAAGGTGTGGAATGGGTTGCCGTCCCCTCCCTGCAGCAGCATGGGTGTCCTTGAGCGTGAGAAGTGTTTTATCAGCTGTGTGTTAACTTGGGAGATAAATTGCTTGTTTGGATGGGAGCAGGAATAAGCTGAGGACGAGATCATGGCATGAGTGAGGCAGGAGAACAGGTGAGGTGTTCGTGGTGGTTTCTGCTAAATTTATAATCCACAAACTGACAAACCTCTTCTCCGAACACCCCCAACATCTGCAGAGTTATTCCTAGAGCTGCTACCCCATCCATGTCCCCATTTCCCCAGCTTTAAAACCAAGGCTTAATTACACCTGATCTGGCTTACAGGGTTGCTGTGAGGATTAATTAATTGCTAATTCTGCAGTGCTCTGACTGTGAAATGCCCATTGCAATATCCCACTCCTTCTCTGGAGCGGACACTCTGGTGTACCAGCCTTTCCTCTCTCATCCTTTGCTTTCAGGCCCCTGCAGACTCATTTTTTTTCATCTCTGCTTGAATTTTGGAGTTAATTTGCTAACCTGGCTTGCAGCAGGATAAGCCCAGGACCTGTAGAGGTCCTTGCCCAGGACCTTGCCAGAGGTCACTGATGCCACTCTCCACCTCTGCTTTCCCGGGATATTGAAGTTGCTCGGATCTGATGCCAGCTCCAGCCTTCCTTGAGCAATTCTCAGTCCAAAACCAAGCCTGGCGAGGCTGGAGCTCTTCTTTCGCAGCAGGAAGCAACCAGATGCCTTTCCCCAGCCTGGCTGCTGCCTGGCCCCAGCACGGAGGCTGCTCAGCCCCTGAACTTTGCCCTTTCCAAAGTGATCTATGTTCTGGCAGCAGCCGGTGCCTGGGGAGCGGGGATGGAATTTGGGAAGGTTTTGATATCACAAGCAATTTGGTGTCTCCAGGCTCCTCTCTCGTACCCTTCCTTGGCTTCCCTTTTGGCATGTTGAATTTCCAGCGGGATCTGCCTTTTTCTCATAGGAAGGGGAGGAGGGCTGGAATTTTTGATGTCTGAGCTTCCCCATTTGTAATTACAGAGCGAACCTTTTTGCCTGAGCTAAGCTCATGTGAGACCCTTTCCTCACTGTCCAGGCAGGAATGGGATGGGATGGGATCCCCTAAAGCCATGCCTGAAAATATGAAATACTCCTGTTTTATCTCCCATAGATGATTCCTGTCAAAACCAAGAGAGCTACAGTCCAGGATTGAGGGTACTGAGGGCTTGGCTCTGTTTCTTTAGGGAAGGAAGGAAAACTAAAGGCCAGATGCAGAGTTTGGATGCAGAGCTGTTTGGGCTGTGGTTCAGATCTACCTTCGGGCAGTGTTCTGTGTCTGCTAATTAATCTCCAGGAATTTAAGCTCTAACAAATAGCTGGATGTTAAAGTCATGTAGCCTTGCAGGGTTATTTTCTTTTCCCCCTTTGAGTCTATGAGGCTTCTAACTCCAAGCCAGCATGTGTCTCCTCTCCAGTGTAACAACCAGCATTTAGGACAGAGCAGGAATATCAGCCTGAGCCAGTGCCAAGGAAATTGTCTGTATTTATCACACAGGAGTCATGCACGCCGAGGGGCTCTTCCAGTTTTTTTATAATCCCTGAGCTTCCTAAGAACTCCCTGTTGTGGGCAAATCCTGCTGTTTTTCCAGTGAGGAGGAGGAGGATGGGGACCCTGCTCGGTTGAGGTGTGGGGTCTGGGTGATAGTAAGTGGGATTCTTGCCTTAGGCTTCCGTAGAAACACGAACCTTTATGCTGATTTAAGTCAAAGAAGTTATATACTAGGATATATATATATGTATATATATGTTTCCCTTCAGTGAAGGATTGTAGCAATGTACTGAGCCTCTTGGGTTAGGTATTTATTATAAATTTCTGTTTGGTTTTGTACAGTAGCCGTCTGGAAAGGAGGAAAAAAAAAAAAAACACGTAAAAAGAGAGAAAAAATAAAAAGACCGTGTTTTAACATGCTGCTCCTACATCTCCTCTCCAAAAGCTGCAGTGGGGTAGAGAAGGGATGTCTTTGCTCATCATTTAACCTCTCTGGTCTTTGGTGTCTCCCTCCTCCCTGGAGCACCAACCGAACTGTGTGAGCATAACAAATCCAATTAAAATTAAGCTTGGGACTTGCATTTTAAGGGGGGGGGGAAATTATAATTTTTCAGGTTTTAGCCTCTTGTTTGTATTTGTTTGTAATTTTGAAAACAGTCTGTTTGTGGTTCTGCCTTTTCCCTTTCAATAAAGGATTTCCTGCCTTTTACCTCTTCGCATTTGTCTCTATTTGCACTTTTCTCAGGATATAGTATTTTTATCTCTATCCCAGAAGCAATAACTTAAATATCCTTTTTCCTTGTCTTATTGAGCCTTAAATAAATGGTTCATTCAGTTTTAAGACGCTGAATGAAAATACATGAGCGAATAGACAAAACCCACAAGCAAAAATTAGTCCACTGAAATTGTGAATCATCTGTTTTGTAGTTGCCTTGTGAGTACCTCCCTCCTCTCTATACATGTACAGTGTATCTCTAAATACATATTATAGAATTCTGTTATGTATTATATTCTTTTATTATATCATACTGTTTTATAATAATGCATTCTATTATATATTCTATGTTATATATTTTATTCTATATATTCTATTATTCTGTATATTCTATAAATTCTATTATATATGAATTCTGTGGTTCTATGCTAATATTATATTTATATATACATGATGTAATAGGTACATGATACATCATATGTTTTATAGATACATAACATAGAGAAAGTATATCGCTTTATGCATATAGATAATTCTTGTACTTACTAGGAGGACATACAGCCTAAACAGGGCTATATCTATATATAAATCATATATATTATAGATACATATGCATACTATATTTACCTATATATATATATATATGACAGATATCATATAGGTTATTTATACACAGAGATAATTCTTGTACTTTGTAGGAGGAAATATAGCCTAAACAGGGCTAAACCAGAGGGGATGTTGACTCCTTGGCTTAACTATGTAACAGCTATAGGCAGTGGGAATTTGGTGCTGTCTCTCTATAGGTTGACTTCAGAAGCAACAGGAGGGCTGGAATTTGGGATTTGGCAATGGAGATTTTGGAGCCATTTCATTGGAATAAGCATGAGCTTGTTACAGGGTAATTTGGATGCCTGTAACCCTGTCCTAGGAGAAAGCCCAGCCTAACATTGAATAGCAGCTGTGGTTTATTTTCTATACATTGGGGATTTCCAATGTACTGATGGAGCAGGAAAAGGATGCTGCAGAGGCTGCCTGTGTTCACCCCTGTGGGAGGGCAAGGGAAAGGGTTAAGGGCCATGTCCCCATGTCCATGGGCACAGTGACTCCTGCCACCCTATTTATAACCAGGTGTGACATTCATTTCACATGACTTCCCCTGGCACCCGGACAGCCCCTGGGGTTCAGCTCATTAAGGTGACAGCCTGCCCGGCTTTTCCCCCACATTTCCACTCTGTTGTTTTGTTGGGTTGGAGTTGAATAATTGGAATTTCAAGCAATGCCAAAGGCTTCAGGATATTACCAGGCTGGGGAAAAGCCCTTAATTAATTATAGCAACATAACCATCATCATTTAACTTTTTAGAAAAGAATAGTGTGATAAGAAAGCAAACTGTGGGACAAGAAGTTAATCTTATGGGAAGTTCTTTGTCACCATATTCACAGTTGTATCCCAGAGGCAATGGAAACCAGAGGGCAGAAATGCATCTCTGTAGTTCCATCAGGGGGAAATTATTTACAGACTGGATCCTCCCAGCCTTTGCTGCACATAATGCTGCTCCCCAGTTGGGGGTAATTATATTTTATGGGCATATTTCCTCTTATAAGGCACTTTCAGAGGATGTAGGATGCCCGAGGCTGCTCCCCCAGGCATGAGCATCACCAGGTATGTGTTGAAAGGGTGGTTTCGTACCCTCTTCCAGCCTTATTTTGCTAGAGTTTGTAAAGCTCACCTCATAAAACACCCTCCTCAGCTCCTCACTGAGGAACTGCAACTCCACGGAAAAAGCAGAGTAATAAAGGACAACCCAGTAGCTTGGGAAACCTGAGCATGTGGAAATCAATACAGCTCCTTCCCTGGTTTATTCCAGCAAATGCCATGGATCTGGGAATCACTGGAGAACCTCTCCAGGTATCGAGGGCTAATAAACTGTTATTAGTAAACAGCCTTTCCTGCTGCAGGGAGAGGAAACTGAGATTGGAGCCAGGCTGGGGAGGCTGATGTGCCCCTCCATGGTGATGATATGTAGTGCTCTGATCCCAAACCTACCATCTTTCCTGCATCCAGGAATGATCAGTTTATTAATGAATTAATTCCTTAAAAAGAAAGTCAGTGGTCCTTCATTTTGAAGTTTTATGGTTTATTTCCAGGCCTCATGGAGCAGGTTTAAAGGCTGGTGGTATGAATGCCTTACTTGGAGGATGTGAGGGCACAGGCCACGCTGAATTTCATGTCTTCCAGACATGAATTTGGGTAGTTTGGACCTGATTTCCCTTGTGTCCTGCTCAGAGCAAGTCTCGAGCTAGATACAAGCACGTGTAACAACCCACAGCACTGACTAAGCATCTCTGCTGCTCCCACCTGATGCTTTATTCCTGAAATGGTTACAAATAATCATTTTGAAACCATTTTAAAGATGCAACAACCACATCTACAGAGCCAGTGAGAAAAAGCAAATCTGATTCTGCATCTACAGGAACCAGCACTGGCTCTTGGTTGATTTAGATCACTCCATCTACAACAGTTTCACCATCAAACACTCCTTGATCGAGACTTTTCAGAGCATTTTGAAGGTGAGGGATGGCAGCCTTAGGTTGTTGTGTTAATCCTCTGTGATTCAGGAGTTACCATGGATAGCCAGGAGCAGATTTCCCTGAAAATTATGTCTTATGAAAGTGGAAACAACCCCTGCACACGTATAATAGGCTGAAATCAGCTCTATTTTACTCCTGCTTTACACAGGAGTTGCAACAGGAGGCTGCTGTGTATCAGGGTTACAATACAGATCCCTGGGAATATAAAGCCAAGATAAGAGGAAGTGAAAGGGAATTAAGCAGAGTCCAACTCTCTGCTCTGATTCTCCTCCCAGTTTTGCAAGGAATCATCTAAATGAATCCCAGAGTTTTCACAACAGAGCAAGGGAAGTTTGGCCTCTTCTTTTCTTTTTGTCATGGCTGTTCCAGGGACTGGTTTTAGATTTTTTTCCTGCTGATTAACATTTTTGGACCATGGCTGTTCAGTCTCTTTCCTGCTTCAATTCACTGAGTGCTCACCACAAAAAAACCCAAACACAGCAAAAACCCCACTGCAAAACAAGGCTTCGAGGAAGGGGTTCTGTTAATCCCATCAGATTAAACCGATTTTAGCCCGAGTTAGTGCAGATTTGGGCCAAATTATTGGGGGGGGATTAATGAGAGACTCATTAACTGTAAAGTTCATTGGGAGGGATGCAAACTGGAGGTGGTTTGCATGGTTTTGGGACTCTTGTTTTCCCACTATTTGGGTGCACTGGGACCCCATTACTCCTCATTGGGTGGCACTGGGACCCCATTACCCCCCATTAAGGTGCACTGGGACCCTATTACCCCCATGCTGGTACACCCACAGGACCCTGTTACCCCATTATGTGGCACTAGGACCGCT